TATGCCATAGAATACTACTCAGACAAAAATAAATAAATAAAATTATGCCTTCAGAGGCAACATTATAAAACTGGAGGCCATTATTTTAGGTGAAGTAATTCAGATTCAGAACGTAAAATCCCATGTATTGTCACTTACAGGTGGGAGCTAAACAATGTGTACGTATGGAGAGAGAGTGCTGAGTAATAGACATTGGAGAATCAGAAGGGTGGGAGGCTAGCAGGAGGGTGAGGAATAAGAAATTACCTAATGGGTACAATGTTCACTATTTAGGTGACGAATACACTAAAAGCACAGATTTCACCGCTCTGCAATATATCCATGGAACAAAACTGCATTTGGACACTCTAAACGTAAAAAATACAGAAATTAAGATTTTAAAAAGAAATGAACACACCATAAAACACCATGGAAATATCTTTAAAAGTTAAAGGATAATAGAGCTGCAGAGTATCCCAAGAATAATGATGACATAATTCTGTAATTGCAGAGTCAGGAATGCCTTTATTTAACTGAAACTAAACAACCTTCAAATAATCTCTGGTCTCATCATGTTTATAGTTCTTGATGATTGACATATACATCACAAGACGGTAAACATATATGTTTTTACTCCATTATACAAAATATAAAAACTCTCCAAATACTGTTATAAAAAATATACAAAGTCCTTTTTTAGTAGTAGGCTAGACTCTGCTTTATCACCTTGAAATATTATTGTTTTGTTTTTACAGTTTTGCACATATTTTTCTTTGGCTTGGAACACTCTACATATACTCGTTTTCCAAAAGAGTCAATTCTTCTTCTAACCCTGAAAACTGATGGCTGATTGGCAAACATAAATGAGATTCATGTAATAGTCCTCAGAACTTATCAAAGTTAGAAAATAAAGACCTACACTAAGGAAGTACAGAAATTAACACACATGATAGAACGTATAAAGTAGAAATTGAAAAACAAATTAGCCAAGGAAGTTGCCACAAGCTGTAATTTTGGTAATGAGTGCTAAGTCCTAAATAATTTGAACGCTTGTATTTAGAGCAACAAAAGCAATTATACTATAAACAAAAATTTGGAAGGTAGGTGGCCCATAGGAAACATTAATTTGATGCACTATTTTAAAGACATTTTCAAAACACCCTTCTTTTCTCAGTTTATGTTAAATCAAGACATACCATGATTTTAATCAACATTCCTTAACAATTTCTCTATACATAATTCAAATTTTAAAAATTGGAACACAGACGTATTTTCAGTTTGAAAAAAGAATTTCTCAAAAAACAATACTTACCGTAACATGTGGGTGAATCAGACCAACCATTGTAACCACACACTATGGAGCCAGTGGTGCTTCCACTTGCGCTTTCATAACCATCATGGCATTCATAGTCCAATATGTCACTCAGCTTAAACCATGTGATGCTATTTTTGGCTCTGGCATTGTTAAATGCTGGCATATCACAAGATTCTAGTACATAAACAATTGAGAATATCATTTCTAATGTAATCTAATAAACAATCTGCATA